TTCCCATGGGATGTCAAACATAAAATACACAAATCATTCAGAAAATTCTCTTTCCCTTCAAGCTATGTAAAGCGTTTTCCGCTGATTATTTTCGTATCAGGAAGTTTTGGATTCTATCGAGAAATGACGATGCTATCGTCAAAATAAAAAACATAGTAAAAAGTCGAATCTCTAATCGGCCATATTCCGAAGACATATGACATAGTAGGTTTTATAGAGCACAATTTTCTCTACAAAATCTACTCTGTTATATTTCTGCAGAATACAGTCGGCTCGAGATTAGAAACTCGATTTTTTCCCATATTTTATAAGGAAAAAAATGGGTTTTTACTATGTTTTTTATTTTGACGATAGCGTCGTCATTCCTCAACAGAATCGAAAATTTCCTTATATGAAAATAATCAGCGAAAAAAGCTCTACAAAGTTTGAGAGGAAAGAAAATTTTCTGAATAATTTGTGTATTTATGTTTGAAACCTCATCAAACTACTCTACTGAGACCCAGATACCCCCCCCCCACGGCAAAAACCGACACAAAAGGGATCATATTCGTGATCTAGGCGATAAGGACTTTCGTAATATGACATTTCTAACGTCCATTAAAATTAATGATTTTTCGATCACCCCCTTTTTCTATAATATATTTATAGAATTAACAAATTTTCTGTTTGTATTATAAATGTATTGAGTATTTGATGATAAATTTCATTATTAGTTAATTTTTCGTTTTCACACAGAATATCCAATACAAATTTTATGAGAGAACAATAACGACGTATAGCTTCCGTATATCCGTATTGATAAATTAAATATTTCCATAGTAAAGTTACAAATATATTTTGAATTTGTATTAATTCAATTGAAGTTGATTTATTTTTAAGATTTTGTTGATTATTAAAGATAATAATAGAACAATTACTTGAGAAAACAATAATAAATAACATTAATTTCATAGATATACAATTTGAATCTAATCGTTTTAATATTGCAGAAAATTGGGTAAAACAATCAGTTCCAAGTAAGGTATTAAATGACATTGCAAAATTCATATTATTCCAACGATCAATTTCAGAACTAACAAAAATAGAATTTAAATTAGTTGTAAGATATATATTATTCTGTATAAGTGATCGACGAGAATTTAATGATAATGAATGAAAATAAGGTGATCGTTTAAGTATTGTTTGAATAGTTGAAAGAGATTTATTCATATAACTTAATGCTATTAATGGTTTTACACGTAATCGAACTGGTAAAGAATAATATTCTATAAGTAAACATTTAATATCATTTATAATGTTATATTCATTACAAACATTGATAACATTAGATAAAAGATTCCATTGATCAACGGTAAATGTTGAATAATCATTTTGAAGAAGATTTAATGGTCGAGGCTTGAGAAGAAGAAGAAAAAAATTAATAGAACAAATGATATAAAAAATCTTACTCTTGGTAATTGTATGTCTTGTGTAAATGCTAGAGAATCCAAACGAATTAATTTGGATTTCATACCAAATTTCAAACATTTTTGTAATCGACAAGCAGGACAATTCTTTCGTGTTTCTATTGTTATTTCACAATTAGATTTACATCTGCATCGTAATACATTCTGCATAATAAAAATAATTTAAATAATGTTCGAAAACCTATAAAACAATTTACTAATGATTGTAATGCATTTCGTCGAAAAAAGGCTTTACAAGACATACAAGTGATAACATCAAAATTTATACCTCGTGCTCCATCACCACATATATAACAGATGAGAGGTGAACAAAACATTCGTTTTGTTATTTTACGATGGTATGTAGTCATTGGTAAAATATTAATGTAAATAAAAGATTTTTATTGTTATTTATAGACTATTTACGTGATCATATGAGAATTGTTGGGATGTGTCAGAATATTTTTATCAGATTGAATAGAAAGAATAGCAGTAAAAAACAAGAGACTACCAATTGTGAAATAACGAGTAGAAAATTTTTCTCAATGAATAAATGAACTGTAAAAATTATAGTTCTACGAGGTTAAATATTCTTTTACAATGGAAAAAATTGAATTAAGTTATATTGGCATCAATTCTAATAGAAAACAATTTTCTCATATAATGCAAACGTTTTCTAAAAATAGAAAATGGTCATAGCACGAGTAATTGTGTTCGTGTCTTTTTTTCATTATTTATTATTATTAATTCTAACATACTTTATGTCAATTAAGATTCTATTATGATATACTCGATTCTAACTAATATTATTAATTTCATTTTGAATTTAATATAAAAATATTAATTATTTAGGAGGCTATGTATTCATCGAACACATGTAATCTGGATGTATAATTAGTTTTCACTTGACAACCCAAGATCATTCATTTCTGTAACCTTTCAACTTTTTCTTCAAGTAAACATTTATAGTTCAAGACTATGGACATATCAACTCGAAGAACTATTTATGCAATGAATAAGTTTATGACAACAAATCTAGGAGAAAAAAATCTCATCCGGACATTTCAATCTACTTCCATCCATTTCCGACTATTTGCAGGCACGTCGAGTTAGCCGTCTATGCCAAGTATCCGGCCAATACCGGGTCAAAGGTCATTGATCAAACATGAAGCGTTGGCTTCAATAGGCTACTTAGATACTCAAATCCATTTTCAAACATTCTCATCCATTCGGAATATTCGAATAAGAGATTTTTCTCCTTTGCAATTCTTGGGCTAAAGTTTTATTTATATTAAATATTTATTTAGCTATTTTTTCGTCAAAAATCAAGAATTACATTCAATAACGTTCCATACTTTATAGATATATTTTCATGGATATCCTTTGCATCAATATCAAAACATGATAGAATCTATGTTCTAAGGCAATTTAAAACTTACATTGTCTCAGAGATGTAGCTCGATGCGAAATGAACTAGCTGTCTACACAGGATGTCTGGCAATGCATCCTATGTAAAATAAATTATTTTTTTCTCGTGTCACATCATCATATGCACAAGAAATCAATGATGTGTACTTTACAATAGAAAATTAACTAGTATGAAAAGAGAATTGAGAAAATTTCATGGAAGATAAGTGAATATGTATACAAAGTTTTAGTTAATTGTTAACATCCACACACTTTGAAAAGATGTGTTAATATTGATGAAAAATACAGAAAATATAAGATAAGATATAATCAACGATATGTTTTTAATTGTATAATATGAAAAGATGGAATATTGATATGGTGAGAAAATGATTTTTATCAATGAAAATTAAACTATCTCAAAACATTTCTCTTAATTATATTATCTTTATTTCTAAAAGTTGCAGGTAAGATACATCGTACCAAAAGATCATATTTTACACATATTTACAATTTTCATGTCTTCAATACTTGAAGAGTATTTTTATGTATAAAAAATAATCCAATTAACAACTACTTTCAAAAACAAAAAAATATAACCAATCAATGTAGAATCACGTTTTATTTCAGAAGAATTAATTATTGAAATATAGTTTTGTATCTCTCACTTTACAAACTTATTTATCTCATATTTTTTTTTAATTTCATGATGTCTTTTGACACAAGATCAATCGTGTAAAACTATACGGTAAATAAGAAATATCTTTAGATGATCAAAAGTAATATGATAGTCTATATACAACATTATTTTTATGATCTTTGTCCAAAAACTGATTGTCATTTATCGTTGATTCAGTTATTTTTGCATCAATGAATTAAAGTCAGTCTATCATTATTGTTTAGAATGATTTACATATACAAAAGAAATATTTCATGTTAAAGAGAGTAGAATTAATTTATAGTTTGCTTTACTTTTGAACATCAAATAACTGTTATATTTATTTTAATTTGACCAATAGAAATCGACTTGACATTTTCAATAGAACAAAAGATCAATATCTAGTGGATTTTATGTATAACAGTTAATTAAATTTGTATGCTATATATTAACAGTGAACTAATGTTATTAGACATACAAAGATAAGTACAAATTAATTACAATGGAAAAATACGTTTGAAACTTTCTTGATCGAAGAAATAAACGTATTAAAGGGGGTGGTCGAAAAATCATCAATTTTAATGCACTCTAGAAACGTCATAATACGAAAGTCCTTGTCACCCAGATCACGAATCTGCCATCCGTTTGCCTAGATCTGATCCCTTTCTTACCGTGTTTGCCATAGTGGGGTACCTGAGTTTTAGTAGGGTAGTTCCGTGAGGTTTCAAACACAAACAGATAAGTATTCAGAAAATTTTGTTTTCCCTCAAACTTTGTAGATTTTTTTTTTGCTGAACATTTTCGTATCAGGAAGTTTTGAATTCTATTGCGAAATGACAACGCTATCGTCAAAATAAAAAACATAGTAAAATAGTTTAAATCCCATTTTTCGTTATAAAATATTGGAAATTGTTGGAAAAAAAAGATCAGATCTAGACAAACGGATGTTAGATTCGGGATCTGGATGATAAGGACTTTCGTATTATGACATTTCTAGAGTGCATTAAAATTGATGATTTTCGACCACCCCCTTTATTTCCCTCTCATAAGAATATTCTAAGAATTATGACTTCACATAATTTCATCTGATATAGAAATTAATTCCAATACTTATTTGTATCATCAGAAAACACAGTCTTCTAAGGGATAAGTTTGCACTTTTTTTTAAAATAAGAATTCCTCACTATTCTCTCTCTCTCTCTCTTTGAAATGTAAGATATATCCAATCATCATCTAGATTCTATGTTATTAATAAACTTTTCTTTTTATATATATTGTTATATTATATGAAGAAATATCATTAAATCAATTCAATGATTATTATTATTTTTTCTTTTCTTTCAACTCGTTTCATACATATACACACAACAAAACAAAACAATCAGGAGTATAGATGCGTATTTAAAAAAAAGAAGAAAAGAACTCAATCAATCACTGTTCCTTCGATATCGAATAGATTAAAATACATAATTCAACAAAACAAAAAAAACACATAAATGTCTTTGTATCTGACACCATTCATTAATATAATTTATTTCAAACTTAAATCCAGTGGAGTTACATTATTTAAATCTAATGATGTTATTTGATTTGTTAATGTCGGTATTATAGTCGAAATTTTTTTCGGTAATAATGTTCGTCTAATCGGTGATGTTGTTGGATAGATAGGTGTTGGTTTAACAATTGATAAAGATTTTTCAGGTGGAGAATTGGTTATCGATGGAGTTTCTGGTATATATGGTGGAACTTTACAAACAGTTTTTTGTGTTCGTTTTATTTCTATTGGATCCTGTACATTTTCTTCAACATTAACAATAACCATTTCTGATGGTCGTAATGTTGTTACTGATTGTTGATGAAAATTATTTGTCGAACATATTGGTGAATTATCTGAATCTACATCACTATAATCATATCGATTCATTGGTAAACGATCGAATATTGATGGAGGACCTGGAACCATTGTTGGAATAAAACGTGTACGTCGTTGAGGTTTTCTTTGAGATTTAATTAATGACGTACTTTTCGGTTGTGAAGTATGACCAACAGAAAAAAATGTTGATGTTGCACAAGGTTTCTTTTTATTTGGTGAGACAGGTGATTGATGTAATGGTTGTTCTTTACGTTTTGTAATTTTCTTAGTTGTTTCACATGAATTGACTAGATCAGGTAATTCAACGGGTTCTTCATTTTTTTTTGATTGTGGAATATACCAATTATTTGTTGATGTTTGTGATCGACGAATTTTAACTTTAATTTTTGGATCAATTGAACTAGAATTTGATGATGACGATGCTGATGAAGATGATATCGTTTTATTTTGTTTTTCGGAAATTTCAATTTGTAAAGGAGGTTGTTCAGAAATTTCAATCGCTGACGGAATAGGATTTCGTAATTGACGAATACGATTTAGAATTGCTTTATAACCATATGGACTAACAAGAAATCGTATATCAAGTGTTTCATTCTAAACAAAAAAAAAACAATATAGAACGATCATTATTTTATAATTTTTATTTACTTTATTCATTCGATCAAAACAATAACATATATCAATTAATCTTTCATGATCTTTATTTAACAGAAATGTTTTATAGAAAAGATCAATCTAAATAAATAAAATTAAGTTTGAAAAAAGAACAAAAATTATTTACTTTAAGTTCTGATGGTAATGAATGTTTAATTCGAATAAATTTTTCGATTAATATTAAAGGTGTATTAGCTTTACATTCCAAATAACATGGAGATAACTATTTGAAATAAGAATATAGATAAAATAGATATATGAATGAATAACTTACTGCTATAGATGTTTTATTACTATTTGGAAACAGATCCAATGAACTAAAAGAAAAACAATTGGTTCGTTCGGAATTTCGGAAACGAAATTTAGCCAATGAAATTATAGAGTAAACTTCATTTATTTGTTAAAGAAAAGGTCAAATTTAACTGTCCCAAAATAAAGAACACTTACATATCCCAATATTCGAGATAAACATCAATAGTTGAATCAATATAAATACGTGTTGATTCTAAAATAGAAATTAAAATGTTCCTTTAGGCAATAAACAAAGAAAAGATACATTACCATTAGTAATGGTCGATGATAGTAGAGAAGGTCTGCACGCGATTTCACCTATAGACATGACAAGAGAAAAAAACTAAATTAGAAAGAACAAGAAAAAAAATCATGAATAATAACGTTACGTTTAAAAATATATGGAAAAATTTTATATAAAAGTCGTTGAAAGATGAGATCAGATCTAAAAAAAACATATCATAGAATATGGAAACAGCTGTTGCTTA